TCGGCGTCCTGACCCCGCTGCGCCGCATCAGGAGCCGGCCCCTGCAGGGCGTGCAGCGGAAGGGAAGGGAAGGGGCGGCCGTACCAGCGAATTTCGCGCCTCGCGCCGGAGAGGAGAGAAGCGCGATGCGCGATCATCTTCGCGCTCTCGACTCGCTGACCTCGTGGGCTGCCCGGGCGGGGAGGGCCGCGGGAGCGGGAAGGGAGGGGGGGGCGGCAGGGGACGTCGGCGCAGAGCGCGGGTGTCCCGGCGAGGGCTCACAGAGGCCAGCGACAGGTGAGGGGGGAGAAGGGCACTGGGCACCCCAGGGCTCCGAGAACCCTGCAAGCGTGCGGCGAGTGCAGGCAACCCGCACGACGCCCGCACGCGCACCGGGCCGTACACGCGACCCCACGCCCACCCGCGACAGGGGATTTTCTGCCAGGGTGCCCGGTCTCATCGGTTCGCAGTTCGCGCCGCGCGGAGAGTGAAGCGCGGTCATCTTCGCGCTCTCCCGCCGCTCCCTGGAGAAGGGCAGCTCCCTGGACGGGGGCCACGAACCACGGAGAGCTTCACTCCAGAAGCCTCAGCGAAGCCAAGTCTCTTCCGAATCAAGGAGCACTTTATCTCCACACCCCAGCTGAAGGTCAGTAAATTCGTCGGCACCGCCTCGGCGGTCGCCGTCGGCATCGCTGCTGCCCGTCTTCTGCCAAAAGGGGTGCCTCCGCGCCGCCGCCCACAGTGGCGCCAACCACGGCTGCCCGTGCATGGGCGGCTCGCGAGGCGGCGCCAGCATCATAGCTGCAGTCGACAGGCTCGTCGTCGTCCTCATCCTGCGGGGCGCGATGCAGACTGCGACGCTGGCCTTCGAAATGTTCCTTTGGTTTGGGGGCCAGCGAGAAGTCTCTGGCAAACTTGCGAAACCAGGCCACCCGCCCATCCGCGAAGCCAAAGGGCCCCTTTCCCGTCAAAGGGGCCGTGCACCACAGAGGCAGCAAAATCCGTCGTTTGGGCGGTGGGAAATTTTTATTGAAATCAACGCAAGCTCCGCCAGGTCCCAAGGCTCGACCGAAAGCTGCACAACTGAGCAGAAGGAGCAGGTCAAGATACGATGGAACACACTTGACATCAAGTGGGGGTCGTGGTGGCGCCTCCAGGAAGGTGCCCACGTAGGCTGTGGCACTCTGCTCTGCGACTCAACAAAAAACTGGCCAGACTACTCCCCGCTTGGACCCTGTCCTTACAGCGCAAATCGCTGCGCACCCAGGCTAAGGGACCTGGATGTCGTTGTGCTGAAAACGATGCGATCCAAAGGTCATATCAGGACGAGGTGATGGACCACTCCCCCCGATGGCAGGAAGGGAGGAGGGAGAGGCACGGAACACAGAGTGGGGAGAAGGGTGCCAGACAGACGGGCCGAACAGGCCAAACAGGGAAGAGTTGAATATGCTCGCCAGCTCATCGGTGTTAGAACGCCCAGCGACTTCAACATTACCAACATGGCTTAAAGCGGCGCTACTGTCGTCGACCATGAAAGGTAAAACACATGGTTTGCTGTCCCCACCCCCAAAGCGCAAGAGATGAAAAAGCTTGTTTCCGTTGGTTCTTATTCATTTTGGCGTCAGCGGCAATGACAGCCTCTTGAGCAACGGTCTCAAGATAGGAGAGAGCGTGATCCACCGCCGCTTTACTGTGGAAAATTGCCAACCTTTTCCTCCTCCTGGAACCCGGGGGTCGCCCCCCCCCCCCCCCTCCGAAAATCCCCCCCCCCCCCCCCCCCTCTGTGAACCCCTCCCCCCCCCCCCCCCCCCCCTCCTCCCTGCCCCCCCCTCCCCTAACCCCTCCCCCCCCCCCCCTCCCGCTCGAAAACCGGGGGGGTCACTACCGTTCGAACCCCTCCCCCCCCCCCCCCCTTCCGGATCCGGAAAACCGGGGGGGGTCACTACCGGTTCGAACCCCCCCCCACCCCCCCCCCCCCCTACTCACCGCCAGCAAACGACTCCCGGTCCCCACCACCGTCCGCATCACATCCCCCACTGGTGTTCCCAGCACCACTGTCCTCACCACCGCTGTCCCCACTGGTTCCACCACCGCCCCTACTGTCCCCACCAGTGGCCCCACCACTGTCGCACTGTCCCCGCTGTCCCCAGAACTGTTCCCACCACGGTTCCACTCTCCCCACTGTCTCCACGGCCCCAACCACTGCCCGACTATCCCCACTGTCCCCACTGTCCCACTGACTCCTCCGCTGTCCCACTGAGCTGTCCCACTGTTCCCACCACTGTCCCCACTGTCCCCACCACTGTCCCCACTGTACCTCTGTCCCATTGTCCCACCGCCGTCCTCGCCACCGCCTTCACCACTGTCCCCACCACCATTGTACCCTCCACTGTCCCACTGTTTCCACCTCATTCCCATTGTCCCCACACCACTGTCCCCACCACCACCGTCACCACCACTGTCCACTGTCCCCCCCTGTTCCCACCATTGTCCCCACCACTGTCCCCACCACTACCGTCCCCACCACTGTCCCACTGTCCCACTGTCCCCACCACTGTCCCGCTATCCCCTCACCACTGTCCCCACCAACACCGTCCCCACCACTGTCCGCACCCCCACTCGGTTTTCGAGGGGGGGGGGGTTCGAACCGGTAGTGACCCCCCCGGTTTTCCGGATCCGGAGAGGGGAGGGGGGGGGGGGAGGGGTTCGAACCGGTAGTGACCCCCCCCCCCCTTTTCATTATGAGCAGGGGGGGGGGGGGGGGGGAGGGGTTCGAACCGGTAGTGACCCCCCCCGGTTTTCCGGAGGGGGGGGGGGGGGGAGGGGTTCGAACCGGTAGTGATCCCCCCTGGTTTTCCGCCAGCAGCGGTAGAACACGCTCTTTCCAAGATAGACACACCTGTCTTTTTCCAGCCCCGGATCATTAAACAGATTGGCTTCACATGCTCAGACGGAAATATTGCCAGCCTAACTCCACTGAAAAAGCTGTCTAGCAGCTCGCTATATTGATTGAGGAAGTTATACCAATAAGACCCAGGATGGTCCTCGAAAGTGCTGGCCAAATCCCTCCGAACGAAATGCCGATCACCCGGGAAGGGGAAACGCCCTGCGGGAGGCTCGAGGGAGTAACCTCGTCTCGAAACCCTCTCGGCGTACCACGCCTGGCATCGACGAGAGCAGACGAAAAAACACAGAGACATGGATTGAATCCGAGGTCCCGACGAAACGACGGCTGTTCGAACCGAGTCTTGCATTGCGGTCGATGAGAAAAGAGAGACGGGTCAGGTGGCGAGAACGCCGTCGAGACCTTCCAGAAGCCAACAGTTCCGCTTTGGTTGTGTCCAGAGTTCGGAGCATGAGCCACATAGACACAAACACACACACAGAGACAAATACACGTCTCACACCCTGCTCACCTGCCACCTCGTCCTCCTATGTACGCAGTTCCTCTCATCCGATTGCGCATAACACGATGGGGTCTTGTTTGGAGTTCCCAGTCAGCTGTGACACGCGTCCGCGGATAGAGATAAAATAGGCACAATGGGAAGGCATGGGAAAGAAGGACTGCGCACCGCCTTGTCACACTCAAGATTTCATGAGGTGGTCTTCCGTAACGTTTTTTCAATCGGAATTTTCCGGTGCCTCAGAATCGTGCTCCCACTGCAGCGTAGGCCTCAGTTTAGGATCGACACTTTGCTGCCCTTGTTGAGGATGGCGCTTTCGCCCTAGCGCGCGCCACCTTTCTGGATCCGAGTGCTTGCTCATCGTTGTCGCCCCGCTCCTTTCCCCTCCCCCCATTCCCCTGGTCATCCTGCTCGTCCCGATTCTCCCACTCCTGCTCCTGCTGCCTTTGTTCGCCCTCATCCTCCAAGCAGAGCAAAACAATGCAGAGCAACGCAAAGCAATGGTGAGCCATGCAGAGCAATACAAAGCAATGCAAAGCAATGCCAACCGATGCAAGGCAATGCAAAGCAATGCAAAGCAGTACCAAGCAACGCCAAGCAATGACAAGCAATGCCAAGAAATTCCGAGCAATGCCAAGCAATGCCGAGCAAAACCTTGCATGCTTAGTTACGTGCGCAGGCCACGTTCTACTAAGTGGGGTCGCACCGAGTTCATTGCATATAGTGTTTTACGGTCGGGATGCTTTCGGCGTTTCAACAAAATGGTGCTACCGCTGCAGAGTGAGCCTTATTCTTGGATCGGCGCTGGATCCAGTCGTTCAGAATGGCGGTCTCGCCCCAGCGCAGGCCACTGTTCTGGATCTGAGTCCGTCCTCAGCGTTCTCCCCGTTCATTTCCCCGCATCCGCCTTCACCTGATTATGTTGCTCTTCCCGCTCCTCCCACGCCTGGTCCCGCTGCTGTTCCAAGTCGTCTCCCTCCTTCCTTGTCCACCTCGTCCCCCGGATCGTCCTCCTGATCATCCGCCACGTCCTCCTCCCCGTTCAATGAGCACGGCTCCCCTCTGCTGATTGTGCATAACGGGATGATGCCCTTTGGGAGGCTCCAGGTCAAATCAGCGCCACGGGAAGGGATGGGCGACGGCGGCAAGATGTCCTACGTGGCGCGAGCGCACCTGGCCTGCCCTCTCTCCCTTCCGCCCTCCCCCTCCCCACCCCTCTCCTCCCCCACCCCCTCCCTATCCTTAAGTCGGGCGTGTCCCCCTACAGGGGGATTTCAGGCGAAAAAGAAAAAATACCCCAACAACACTCCAAAATGGTCAAAACTATTTTAATGGTCCCCAGACTATTGTTTTATCATGTTTGAATAATTCTCCTGTAGAGGGACGGGTCCGACTTAACCCTATCCCTTAAGCCCTCCCCCTCCCGACACTTCCCCTCCCTCGCCCCCTCCGTGCACCCCGCAACGGGATCGCCTCGCCATGAGGCTCCCCTCGCGGCCTGCACCCCTCCCCTCCCCTCCCCTCCCCCCAGCCCTCCACAGCCTCCTCCTCTCCTCCTCCTCCTCCTCCTCCTCCTCCTCCTCCTCCTCCTCCTCCTCTCCTCCCCTCCTCCTCCCCCTCCCCCTCCTCCCCCTCCCCCTCCCCCTCCCCCTCCCCCTCCCCCTCCCCCTCCTCCTCCTCCTCCTCCTCAACTCTGCCCCTCACACCGGAGAGACGAAAGGGAAGGGGGGGGGGGCACAGGCGGGGCAGACCACGGCCCCCAGCGACGCCTCTCAGAGAGGGCCTACGGGAGGAGGAGGGGGGGATATACCCTTCCCGAGCGACCGAGCGGGTTGTGGAGGGGACCGCGCAGAACAATCGGCGGTGGACAAGCCTCCCTTTAGTAAACCTTTCCTTAGTGAAAACGGCCTGGGACCGAAACCGACGGACTTGGACCCGCAAAAATAACGGCCGCGACGCCCTCTCGCGAACCGAAAACGGCCAATTCCTTAATCGACGTGTCAGGATAGGAGGTCTGTCCACCCCCGAAACAAAAGGAAGCTGACCACAGGAGGACGCACCTCTTGCGAGAATGAAGCTCTCCCCAGTGGGCCGCGGGCCCCCCCACGGCAGAAGCCCCCCCCCAAGTCCTTGGCGGCGGGTGCCATAGGTTCCCCGGCGGCTGGCCCAGGGCACAAAGCTGCACTGCTGGAGGGCGGGCGGCAGAGGTTGCTGCCCGTGGAGAGAGAAAAACCTGCGTACCTTCAAGAAGCATGGGTGCAACATCAAAAGTCGGAGGGCTAACCATCCTTTGGAGCCATCGGCGGAGGCCCGAAGGGGCCCGCAGAAGGTAGCAGCGCGCTGGGAGGCCAGAGGATACGGGACTAGTGTTCCACGAACCATACCCTGTTCAACTAGGGACGGAAACCGACTACGTTTCCAAGATTCCTCACCGTAACTTGATGATCGCGCCCTCGCCCGTCGGTGCCGCGGGTCGGCACCCAAAGCGTGGGAGGACAAATGCCGGCTCAGACACTGAACGTCGTGCTCAGTGTGCTGGACTCTGGACCCTCGCAGAACTCGCAGACGGACATGCCCTGCAGCAGCAGCAGCCCACACGAGCCACACTGGCCACAGAACACGTCTCTCTGCCGCATGCAGCACGGTCTGCGGCCCAACTCGTTCCGCAACCTGTCAAAGGTAGCCAGGGCGCCGTGCAGCCAGCAGCACGCGCCGTTCGGCACCGGAACGTTCCACTGCATGAGCAAATACGACAGTGTCAGGACCTGCGTGCTCAGCGGCGTCGGGTGGTACTGCGGGTGGGCCAGCTGCCCTCGCTCGTTCCCGGGACTGCTGGGCAGCTCCGCCGTGGCGCCGTTTGTGGCCCTTCCTGGCTGCAGCAAGCTGTGTTCGGATACTGGGGGAAAGAACCTCGAGCCCATGCCAGGCACGAATGAGCGGATGCTGGAGCTGCTGGCCTGCCTCACCTCCACTACGCCGCCTAACCACGTGAGATCCTTGCACGCTGGGTCGTCCGAATCGCATTCGTCGGTGGTATTCGTACCAGGCGGCGTCGTGCGCCCGCTGCTGGCCTTTCCAGGTGTGAGAGTCTCCACCGCCGTGTCCATCACCCTTTTCGCAACCTTGTTCAGCATAGAAGTCAATTCGTTGCTGACCTGCTGGGCAGTGGGGCGCAGGGCTGGCATCGCCTTGGTGCACTGCTCCACCACTGGTCGGCAGACCTGTGTGAGCTCGTCGGCGTGCTCGGGCCAGGACAGGCTCGGCGACTGGCCGTGCCCCAGCCGCTTCAGCATCAGCTCGGCGTTCATCCCCTCAAAAGGCAAGCTCCCCCTCACGATGAAGTACGTAAGCAGTCCGAACGAGTAGCAATCGGCGGCACCGTCTGGTGGAATGGCCCGCCGCAATACCAGCTCTGGCGCCATCCACCGCAGCGTGCCACCCAGAGGCTTGGCGCTTCGGGTGATGATCCGGGAGAGACCGAAGTCGAGGAGCTTGGCGTGGAACGACGTTCGCCCACTCCTGCTGAGCCGCTCCTTCACGAAGACGTTGGAGTCCTTCAGATCGCCGTGGACGACGGCGGGCTCCCTCGAGTGCAGGTAGCGCAGCACGTTCAGGATGTCGCAGACGATCGACGACCGCGCGGAGGCGCTTCTGTCCAGAGCCATGGCACCCAGAGCACGACGGCGCGAGTCCTCGGACTGATCGGGGCCTCTGCACAGGCCGCGGACGAACACGCCGAGGGACACACCATCCACGAACTCCAGCACCAGACATAGCTTGCTCAGGGTAACGTCCATGCACGCCCCGTAGAAGAACACGATGTTGGGATGGCGGAGGCGGCGAAGGATCTTCAGCTCGTTGCAGAGCGCGGGCAGGCCTTTCTGTGGGATGCCCTCTTTCACCGCCTTCACCGCCACCAGGGTGTTGTGGTACAAGCCCGGCACAACGATGCCGAAACCGCCCTTGCCGAGAACCCTGCCGCCCACGAGCTCCACTTCGCCGTTGGCGATGAGCCACTGCTCCCGCAGGCCTATGGCGCGCATCTGGTTCATCGACTCGCCCCCCAGGCCGTCGCCGTCGAAGGCAAAGGCGCTCCTGGTCGTCTCCGGGCGCGACATGGCGAGAGAGCGTTCGGAGCCGACGTCCTCACGGCCCGCCGCAGACTCGCGGCGGCCCAGCCTGGAAAGCAGGAACTCCGCCTGGAAGCGCCTCTGCTTCTCCGCAAGGAACCCCGCGAACATCGCGCGCTCCTGCCTCTCGAAGGCTCGCTTCCCGACGGCCGCGAACACCGTGAGCGCCAGGAGCCCCACCATGTTGAAGTGGGCCGTCCGCACAGCGGGGCTGCCGAGCGTCAGCACAGGCCCGGTGAACGCCAGGAATGCGATCACCTCGAACGGAGCGAGGATCGCCCAGCGTACCGGCACGCAGAGGTGCACAGCGGTGACTACACAGTCTATGTACAGCACGAGGTTGCCGTCGGTGGGACTCAGGTCCAGGCCCCATATGGCCTTCGTGTCGTCGTAGCCGAACGCTCGCGCGAGGTAGTGCTTCGTGATCAAGGGCAGCGCCATCACGACGATACTGCATGCAATCACGACAGCGATCTCCAAGCCCAGGGTGCCAATAATGTTGTACTTGGCAAGCAGTGCCCCAGAGCCGAAGCACACGTTAAAAGAAACAACTACGGCGAAGTGCATGAGCATCTGCAATCTGCTGAGCTCCCAAGCCTCATTCGTGGCGTACTGGTCCTCGTCCCAATATTTGTGGGTAGTGATAGCAGCGAGGCCTACAACTGTGAAGAGGGCCATCATCAACACTACGTGGTGGGACAGCCGCGCTTTGTTGCCTTTCACAAAGCCCGCCTCTAGCATCGGGTCTTCGAACCTAAGTGCGAAGCGGTCGACGCCGTTCCGGTATCTCTCCCATCTGCAGCAAGCACACACCTCGTCATAGCGGGTCCTCCATCTGCGTCCACCGCTGTGTGAACCTGACATTACTTTCCAACGAGAACTCAATCAAGGTCAATGGATCGGAAAGTGCTTGAGCCAAAATTAACCATAAAAGGCCACGCGAATCCATTTGGGACCTCGCTGCTCCCCCGTTGACTGCGAATTGCACCACTGTCGCCACTTTCGTGGGCTCTTGGGGGGTCCAGCGGAATCGTGGGCCACGCGAAACCATTTGGGACCTCGCTGCTCCTCGGGTGACTGCGAACTGCACAACTGTTGCCACTATCGTGGGCTCCTGGGAGGTCCAGCGGAGTCGGGGGCCACGCGGAACCATTTGAGACCTCATTGCTCCCTGGGTTGCTGCGAACAGCGCAACTGTCGCCACTTTCGTGGGCTCCTGGGAGGCCCAGCGGAGTCGGGGGCGCGACGGTCTGGGCAAACGTGGTATCACAAGAAACTGCTGTTGCCACAAGAGGACGTCGGAGCAGCCACCGGCCAAGCATGGAACCACAGGCGGCCAAGAAACCGGAAAGAGATCGTCACACGGACCCAGCGCAGCGGGAAGCCACAAAGGGGCAAAGAGAGGCCAATTAATTCACTTGATGGGAAGCCACACGAAGCCAAGCAACCACTGGAAAGCATGCGGCACGCAACCCGCGGAGACAACCCCTGAACACTGCCAAGTTCACCTCCCCTTGAGCGCGCAACGCTTGGGGTTCAAGCATTTGCAATGGCAATGCAGACCATGCGTGTGCCGCAACCAATGCGACCGAACGAAAAGCCGTGCACATTCGCACGTCGTTATGCGTACGTGTTCCCCAGAGAATGGACAACCGTTCCAAGTGATACGGGGGCAGGAGTGGTAAGGAGACATGGAAGTGTAGTGATATGTCAAGTGGGTGCGGGTCCAGATGTTGCCTTCGGTGTAAGTCCAGGGACATTTCGAAGCGCATTACGTCTCGCCCTACGACCTACACGTCGACGTACATTCGTATGTCTACTTCGATGAACACTTGTATGCGAACTTGGAAAATATGATTGGAATTCCGATGTGCCGTATAATGTGCGAACCAATTCTTCGAATTGCATCCTCAATTAAATTGCGAGCTGCGATTCGAAACACATGTCGATGTGCATGCCGATGCGCACTCCCACTCCAATCGACATCCCATGGGACAACCACAGGACAGCCCACCGGTCAATCTACGGGGCAACCGCAAAATTCTAGACGCTTCGCGTATCCCCACCAGCCCGTCCAGAAACGACGCCCAGGCGAGTAGAGGGTCGTCCTGAGGGGCTTTTCGGCGTCTTGGGTGCCTCGGGGGGGCCTCTGTGGGCCGTTCGGGGTCCTCTTTGGGGCCTCCTGGGGGCCTTTTGGGGCCTCTTGGGGCCATCTTGGGGCCTTTGGGGGCCTCCAGGGCGCTTCTTGGGGCCATCTTTGCCCCCTCAGAATGCCAAAATGGGGCCCAAACCATAGTAAAAGGGCCTCTGGGAGCACCTTGGGTGCCTCTGGGGGGTCTCTTGGGGCCTCTTGGGGGTCTCTTGGGGGCCTCCTGGGGGCCTCTTGGGGGCCCTTGAAGGCCCTGCTGGGGCGCTCTTGGGGCAATTTTGGAGGACATGGGGTTCCCCAATTACAGCCCCCCCCAGGAGCTCCAAAAATCGCTTCCTGGACCCCTCTTGGATCGCCCTTGGAGCGCTCGTGGCCGCTCTTGGAGCCATCCTGAGGCTCTCTTGGGCCCCACTTGGAGCTATCTTGAGCCATCTTGGAGCCATCTTGACGCGTCGGATGTGCATCGCAAGCGAAAAAGTGAGAACACCAAAAACATAGATTTTCCCAAAGGTTTTAAAACATTTTGGCCTCTTGAATGCATCCTAATGATGCTCTTGTGGGCACTTGGAACCGTCTTGGGGAGTTCTTGGAGCGTCTTGGAACATCATGGGGACCATCTTGAGGCATCTTGCGCTATCTTGAGCCATCTTGGAGGTCATTTTGAGTTCCCGGAGGCCCTCTTGGAGCCGTCTTGGGCCATCTTGGGCGCTCCAGCGCGCCGCGGAACCCCCTGTCCAGGTCAGTGGGGAGGGGGTAGGGGGAGGGGTAAACCCCTCCCCGAAGGGGAAGAAGGAGGGGTGGAAGAGGAAACGCTGTAAACCACCGACGCCCAGAGGGCTGGTGGGATTACATGTGGACGACCACGCGACGACCACGGGACATCCCATGAGACACCCCACAAGACAACCGAAAACAACCCGCCTGACAACACACGGGACAGCCAACTGAACAACCGAAGAGACTCTACCTACGGAACACCCCATAGGAAAAACTCGGGGCAACAACGGGACAGCACAAGGCACAACCCACGAAACAACCCACGGGACAACCACACGACAACCCCGCGTTCCAACGCGGGCCACAGGAGAGCGAAACCTTGCTCCTGACTTGGGGCTTTAGTCTCGGCCAGTTCACCGCCGCCTTCACGCAGCTTCGCATCGCGAGCACGCACGACGCAAACCCTGCGCGCGCGAGCACGTTCCACGCGCGCGTGGATACGCGCGCATGCACGCACTCCGTAATACACCCTGTGCATCACACAGACGGCGCGCAAAGTAAGCACGAAGACGCGCTCGAGCCGCTCGAGAAGAAAGGGGGAGCGGGGGGGGCGCCGCCGCAGCCGCGCGCAGGCTGGCGAACTGCACGCAGATTGACACCGCGCAGTCGCGTAAATAATTTCTGGCCCTGGCCCCCCCTGTCCGCCACCCACCCACCCTCTCATCGCCGCGCCACGCGCTCCTTCTCTCCGCGCACCGCAGCGGCGGGCACCCCGCACTGCGAGCTTCCGCCCGACGGCGGACAGCTCGCCGAAGACGTCGGCGAGCTCCTGCTGGCCGCAGAATGCCCCCCTTCTGTCGGCCTCTCGCGATGAACACCTCAGCGAGCACGCGGGGGGGGGGGGGCCTGGCCCGGCGTGCAAGGCGGCCGCGAGACCACGCCGCGGGAACCCCTCCTCGATTCAGCGAGGGGCGTCGCAGGCTGGAGCGGGCAGTTGAACTCGGTCGAATAGTCGGCGCACAAGCGCGCGGGGCGCCGGCGGGCGGGGGCCGGTGGCCCGAAAAGACTTCGGCGAGGACGTCGCCGAGGTGGAGGGCCGTCGCGCTCGCGCGGAAGGGCGAATTCTTCGCGCCCCCGGCGCCCCCCATCCCCCACCACCCCTCGCCTCGCGGCGCGCCCCGCGGCAGCGCGCGCCGCGGCGGCGGGCGCCCCGCGGTGCGAGCGGCCGCCCGACGGCGCCCTGCTCGCCGATGACGTCGGCGAGCCCCCGCGGGCCGCAAACGCCCCCCCGTCTGCGCCTCGCAGGGAATGCCTCGTCGGGGGGGCCCGGCCTCCGCCCGGCGCGGCGCGCGAGGCGCGCGCGAGACCGAGCCCCCCGCGCCCCCCCACGCATCCAAGGTCGACGATGCGAGAAGGCCGCGGTCTGGCATCGGGGCCACGAGAGACGCCGCGACAACGCCTGGACCTTGTCCAAATTAGCCCCACCTGGACCGCGAGGCCGGCAGCGCCCGAGCATCGCCGCGCCGCCCCGGCGCAGGCGCGCGCTATCGGCCAGCGCCCCGAGCGCTCACGGGCACAGGTCTGGCTCAGCCCCACAAGACCTGGAGATGGCGCGCGGCGTCTGCCCGGCGCAGGCTGCGCGATTACGCCGTTCAGGGCTGGCCCCAATCTCACCTGCAAGGCGCCAGGATGATGCCCTGAAGCCTGCAGGCCCCCCGGGGAACAGCTGCGCGCCACCTGGGCAATTCCCCGGCACGAGGGCTAGGGGGATCACGGCCTCGGGCTCGTCGATCACGACGTGCACGGCAGCTCCTGCCCGCGTGCATCTCTTAGTCAATCCAAGGTCGATGCGGACGGTGCCGGGCTTCCAATAAAACCTACAGTGGCACGATGGCAGCATCACCTTGATGGGCCGCAGGAAGCCGCTCAGGCGAACGAGCACCCCTGCCGCCATGGCCACATCTCCCTCGGGAAGGGCGAAGCCCGTCATCGCCAAGACCTGCTCTGGCAGCAGCGGCCAGGGTCTCGCAGGGACTTTCTTTTATCGTGCACCGAACGGCCGCCAGGCATCGCGCTGCCCGCGCGTGAAGGTCTGCGCTAAACTCTGATGCCCAGGGAGGACGTCGCCGACGCGTGACTTCGCCTCGCCCTTCGACCAGCAGTCCTCCCAAACTCTCCGACTGCCCTTCGGCCAGTGGCGACGGGCTCGGGCAGCGGCTCGCCGCGGTCTCTGAACAGCTGGAAAAATACTCGACTGCCTCTGAATACCGCTTGACAGTTCGCGGTCTGCTGCTGCTCCGCACTGTTGCCTCTGCTGCCTCCTGCCATACTCCGATTTAACGACCACCATCTGCTGGGAGCACCACCCGTGTTCAGCTCCGACCGAACGGATCCATAGAATGGGTGGCAAGACGAGGCCAGCAGGAGCACACTGAAGCGCCTGAGAGGCCGCCGCAGCAGCGACGAGGTCAGCCTGCGATTACAGGCGAAGCGATATACACCTGAGAACCACGAACATGCATCAGGCGGCTTCCACGGCGGAGGCGGCGCGCAGGCACCACTGAAAGGTTGCCAACATGGCTGGCCTGCATCTCGAGAACGATGACGCGTCACCCTCCGCCCTGGAGAAGAGGCAGGCACACTCGCCACTTCCAAATCCGCGCTTCAATACCCCGCGCCGAAACCACCCAGGCGTGTTCTGATGGGCCCCTGAGGCCACCCGCACGACGCTGCCCTTGGGCGGAACAAGCGGACGAGGCCCTCGCACAGCTCCGCGCGGATCCCCCGGCGACCTCCTTGATCGGCGCGCCGGACAACTCGCGGAGATGGCGCTGCTCCCCCACCGAGGGGGCGACCTGTCGCGCGCGCGCGGCCGAAGAGCATAACCATGACGGGGGCGAACGCGCTTCCGTAGTGCCCACGCTGGACGCCCTCGGCCTCGCGCTTCGACAAGCGCGTGGACTTTGGCACTGCCAAGTCTCAGCGCTCGGCAGGGAAACTCAATCGCACTGCCCTCTCCGCATTCGACAGAAGCCGGAGCTCCGCGCCCTTGGCCTGCACGACGATGTTGATCTTGCGATGGTAGG